CTAAAAAATATTGATGAATTATCTCCTAATATAAATTTAGTAGAATACAAAAAAATCATTCAATATATATATACCTGGTGGCCATAATTAACGACAGTGCTCACAGTGTCGTGCGCGATCTATTTGTGAGATGACGCCACATTTTGTAGAAACTTAACAAGACGGGGGACAAGGATCCGCGAAAAAAAAATTACCAAAGTCACCGCTAGGGAATAGTTTGGCGCGTGTATAGAAAAGAGTGTTTAACAATGCAAATTAATACGGATAAAATTACTTATATGAAATGCCTTATGAATAGGGTTGGCCTACACTACGGTATGAAAATCTTATGAAAGATTATCAACTCTATCCACAAGATCAGCCGTGGTACAGGAGTACTGTACCGCAGACCATGATAAGCGATTGATTCGCTCTCCTTTTTGCCATGAGGTAGGCTGGCCGTTCAAATCTTATGGGAGATGAGGCCCACTTTACCTGAATGGAACGTGAATACCCGACTGCGAATTGGGATAACAAATCACTACATGCAGTCACAGCAATTCCCTACATTCACCAAGGTAAAGTTGGTGTGGGTTCACAGCGGAATGATCGTAGATCCATTCCTCTATAAGAACTTTACCCCGACAGACCGGAAACCTTTTCTTTACCGGAGAGAATATCGCCACATGTTGAACAGCTTTGTCATTCCGGGCACTTCAGCCAAGATAATGCCTGGGGGAATCATTTCATGCACTCCACACGTGCGAACGGTGCAACAGAGCTACGACAGAAGTTTACAAAAAAGAGTCTTTAGCCTACGTTCCAACGGATAGCCCCTCGGTCGCCTGATCTTACCCCATGCGACTTCTGGCTATGAGTTATCTTAAGTCAAAGTCTTCAAGGAGTGGTCCAGACCTGCTACTCGAAGGATAACATATCAGGACTACGGGAGATTCCTGAGACAATGTACTTTCTGCTGTTGTGCATACTGTGCACAGAATGCAATATGTGGTCCACCAACGGCAGCCAAATTGAAACTCATTGAATGCAAAATAAAAGGTAATGTCGGATGATTTGCATTGTTAACACTTATTTTCTATACCAGCGCAAATATCCCCTAGGGTGACTTTTGGATCTATGTTTTTTTCGCGGCTCCTTCGTACCCGTCTTGTTTAATCTTCCTACAAAATGTGGCGTCATTCTCGCAAATAGACGTGCTACAGAACACTGTGAGCACTGTCAGTTTAATTATGGCCACCCGTTATATATATTTTCACTCTGCTGCTGGGTGAGCTTAGATATTTTATTCTTATACGTAGGTAAATTGGACATTTTTTGCTTTAAACGTTATTGAATTATATGGTTTCTATGTTACGGTTAAGGATTTTATACCTTTAATTATTCTTCTGGCAATACTTGTAGAATTATCAACAATTTAAAAGTAAAAATGATGAGTTAAACCTATCGAATCGCCGATTGTTGACATTTACTCAGTTTCTGCACCTACAGTGTCCTTTTGCCGAGTGGGACCAAAAGTAATCTTTCAGTTTCGTGCACTGAAAAAAAAAAATCTATCTTCTATCCCGTTGACCGAATTGCATGTTTCTCAGTAGAAATCCTAAATTTCATTGCGTTTTTTTAAACTGTTTTAGCTGTATTTAATGTTTTATGTTTTTCTATATTTTACAATTTTATAATGAAGATGTTTTGCGTTTTTATGTACGCCACGAAGTGAGAAGGGATTTAATCGAGTGAAAATGTATCTCTAATGAAGTTCGAGGAAATGTCTCAAAATGAAATTAACCAAAAAATTTTTATAATTTATTTGACTGCAGAGGAAAGGTATGTGGTGACCACATCAGAACTTTTTTTCTTTTTGAAATAGAGTTAAATGGAATGAATTTCCCTTATTTATTTGACCTTTGAATAGCATACTGATACATATTTACTTTGTGCAAAAATACATTATGCATTAATGTCACATGTGTTGAACAATTAATTTGCGAAGTGACAGGCATAATTATTTCGTATTTTATTCTACCTGAGTATCTAAAATAAGAGAATGTAATTAAGAGGATCTTCGGCTTATTACAGTCAGGGGGCTTTCAAAGTTGAACTGCGTTTTGATTACTAATTTCGCAGTAATGAATTCATATCAAGTTCGGATCAGCTCGGCAGTGCTCGACCAGGAGATTTTATATTAGATTACATGACTGGCATATACATTAATGGGTGTGGTGTACTATACCTAGCGACGCTGTCTGAGGGTAGTCTATTAATTACTTTGAAGTTTTATATAGGAATAAAATTGTAGCTTGAATAGGTTGAACAGCAAGTGTGACGGAAAACTTCACGAGTGATTTAAATTGATGATCTTGTAAAAATAACATTATTTCAAATGTGAAATCACTTGATGGATACAGTTGACGGTTTGTTATTCGCCCTTTGTTTTCTAGTTGAGATAAATAAGATATGTCAAAGATTTGTTTCCAAGAATTATTTATTAACGTTTAAGAAAGTGACTATTTTAACGATGATCAACTTAGTTAACTATCATACAGAGAGGATATTGTATCTTCAAGTACTGAAAGTGCAACAATGAAAATTTCAGCTCAGTTGAATTATGTAATTCCCACCTGTATCTGAGATTTAATTCTGCTTTACATTTTACGCTTTCCTGCTATAAATTTGTTTTACACTTTTTATAGTTTTGGTGCTTCGTAATCTTCTTATTATTTCATCTCCTTTACTATGCTTTTCTAACTTTCATATTTTAATTGAATATGTAGACGTAAAAAGTAGCTATGTGATTTTTTTCTCCAAAAAATGAAATTAATGGCGAGTTTGTATCACTAGAACAAGCTTCAGAAGCCATGCGAAAATTAGGCTCTCAGCTCAATGCCTAAGGGCACTGAAAGGTGGTCGATTTCCAGAATTTTTTAAAAGATAAAATCTGCACACTCACATGACCTGTCTTTACATTGTAGTCAGTGGTAATACTAAAGATGTTTGATTCCATGACTTTTATAATATCAAAATTTCGTTGCAATTGCCATATTTGAAATAGTAAATTTCGCATTCGGCAATTCTAAGTGTATATGTTTTTTTTTTTTTTTTTTTTTTCTTCGAATAAAAAATTCCTAACTTACCCAGCTAGAAATACGCCATGCTCTGGAAAATTTTTTTGTTCTTTTGGGGAAGGAAAAATCACTAATTTACGCATTTCCAGTTAGGACTATTTGGGGATCATTTTTTATTCCGAAGATTCCCTACAGCCGGCATATGTGCAGTTACAGATTAATACAGATTAAGGTTTGTTCTCTATAAATATTCGGTATGGGTATAACCGTAATTGAAGGCCTGTTTCAAAAGGCAGTCAATATAAACAAATATAAATTCTGAAAGGTTTCAGATTTTATATTACCCCACAAAGAGGCGTTTCTTTACCGTTCTGTGTGCTACTTTATTTATTAAATATCATGTTCTTCGCACTTAAACCATAAAATTCAATTCATCACAAATATCGCAAAATAATTTGAAAGAAACATATATTTTGCATGTCCGATACACAGTCTCGATCACTTGAGATACTTTTTTTTCGTACAGGGATGCCATTGTTCGCTTTAAAATCATTGAGGTTTTTAATCAAAAACTCATAAATACTTTACAAAATATGAAATAGATAACAAAACAAATTCCAGATTCCAAATCTCGGTTTTCAGATGCCCATATTCCGGTGGAGATGTACGTTATTCAAAATTTGATGGCTCTAGGTACCGTTGTTTTGTCACAGTGAGAGAAAAGTATATGTATTTAAGCAAATTCTTTATTATTTAATTTTATTAAATACAATACAGGACGATAATATTTGGTGGCAACAATTTGAAAAGTGAAACACCGCTTATAGTGAAACAGTACAAAATGCCAAAACGAAATGTATAGTTCTTTTGGGCTAATCACGTAAGAACTAAGTATGAGTTTGTTATCATTCTTTTATCTTCTTTTGTTTTCTATTATAAAGTGTATATTTTGTATATTTTTAAAATCTGCAATTACAAAATCCTACCTCAGGTGTCCCCTCTTAACCTGAAAATTCCCACGTGCTACTTATCCTGAGGGCTCCACGTCCTCGGGATCATTCTTTTCCCTCATGCAGTCGTAAGAAAAACCGGTCGGAATATGAAGTACGAGAAAATAGGACGACCTGATGAGGAAGTCAAGCAATAAAAAGGATTATTTTGTGTACTATGAATGGGCATGCATCAAGGCAAAGGAATTCAAAAAGTATGTGGGGGGGCGTATTTTTATAAAACGTCATGTGTATCTGATGAAAAATATAGCGAGCATATTAGAGAAGAAGATAAGTTGAAATTGAAGATATTTTTAATGAGGCATTTTATCATTCATGTAATTATATACGCGGTTTCAGACATGATACATTTACCACCAAGAAAGACTTGCAGTCTCTTAACTCTGCGGACCAAAATTTATCTAGCATAAAAAGGAAACGTACAAGCTCTGTAAAAACTTGTAATGCATTTATTTTATTTTATTTTTTTTTTTTTCGAATGGCGAGCACTTGCTTATAACGGCATTTATCACAACTAAAGCCAGAATTGGTGGGCATTTCATTGTGGATGTACCTAATAGATGGCCACCGTTGCCTTATATGAAGAGGCAGACAATTTTACATTTATGCCTTCTCCGGGGTTCGAACCCGGAACCATTGGGTATCGCAGTCAGGTTGCCCTAACCAATATACCTTCTAGGTGGCGCTTTCAAATTTATTACATAGATACTGTCTCAGTTTACTGTTTTGATTCTTTAAATCTTTTACTAATAACGTACACTATATAAAAATTGTCATGTCAAAAACAATATACTTTACAAAAGCTATAATGTTGAAAATTATTGAAGGACATCTCTGTGGTTATGTAAAGTTTGCTGTATCTTAACGGCTTTATTTTGTAATTATCTTCACTACTGAAAATAAAAATAAAAATATATTTTTGTCTTTTCAGAATGAAGTGAGAACAGGAAATGGAATGTTCTGTTAATGTAAGTTTTATCTCCTGTATCATTAAATTTTAAATAAAAGGAATATATGTGTAAATAATATGTAAATCGAAAACATGGTAGCCATGCAATTACTAAGAGCAACGAGTTAGCTGAGAAATATAAGTTAAGAATTTTGTGTGTCATGAATTATTTCCAGCAAATTATTTAAAGCGCAAAATCAACCTCTTTCTAACACCATGAAGAATAATATTAACTGGAATCAACTTCAGAATCTTTTAACTGCATTAACCTTAAAATAAATTAACTTGCTTATATATATAAAATATTTCAATCATTTGAAGTGCTGTCCAATCTGCCATTTCTGGAGTTTCAAACATTTATTTGATTTTTCCTGTCACTAACGGGTTTCGAAAATTTAAAAAAAAAAAAAAAAAAAAAAAATAGTACCATTTTACTTGTTCAGTGCAGTGCATATTCCGCGGAAGCGAAATTTTGTTATAATGGCTGATACCGCAATTGTGAAATATGAATTTCGTATATCAGTTGTCAACATTCTCAGTACTTGAACCTTCTAGAAAACGTACAGTTTTCAGAAAGAATATCAATAGCTTTTCCGAAAATGAAAGAGTTACAGCTGAGAATGCTGAAACTCGTGGTGCAACAGCACTGTTCCAAACTCATGATCTCATACTGCTTTTGCGCCGATTCATGTCGTAAACAGAGCAGGTGCCGCACGCAAGGCTCTTGTCGATAGAACGCGTTCAATAAACTAAGTACACCGGTGACGTGCAGGTCGCTGAGTATAACCGATAAACGCATAAACTCGTAACTGAAAGTCCTGATTTCGATTTTCAGAGCGCTTTGTAGATGAGAATTACTTGACATGACAATAAATAAATACTCGGCTTTTGTCAATGTACGTGCTGTATAATTTTCGCTCAAGTAAATAAATATTAACGTAATAAAAAGGTTCAGTATAACATTTGTTTATTACCGTTTCCCTAAATAAACCTACTTGGTACTGGATAATTGGAATAATTTTGTGGTCTTTGTAAAATCTAAGAATTATTTTGAAACGAATGGCGTTCAGTAATTTAAATTGCTTCGAAGCTCGTATTTAATGTACTGCCGATTACGAAGCCACATATTTTCCAGACAGATTTCAGATACTTTTCAGCAGATACAATTCTTAAAAATGATAGATGATGTCATAAAAAGTGACTATGTAATACACATTCCACATTAAATTTCGAGCCTCGTGTTAACATCTGCTTTCAATAGCCACCAACTTGCAGAAATAATGTTACTGACATGTTTATCTGTGTAAAGCACTGGGCATCCAATGGAATGATGTGTTATCGTAAATCGAAATATATAATATCCGTACAATGCACGAATGTAGTGTATGCAACGAAATATGTAATTCATGCAACAGAAGCCCCTAATGAAAGTATGTACATTATGTATTATGGGAACTGAGCATATTTCCGCACAGCGCTACTGCTTTACGCACACCTTACTATGTCTCATATGTTTCTTCTGTGTGTAATATTTGCATTTATGTGCTCTACGTGTTTTCCATATGTATTCTATGTGTCATGATATGTATTCTCGTGTGTGTTTTTATTCTTTATGTTACGTAATTACGAGTGTGTTTTTATGCTTTTACGTTTAATTTTGTATATCTACGGTTTCAGCTTATATGAGTAGTGTTTTAATGCTATCCTTTATATTCTTTTTAAGTTATTTTGTGTTATTAACAACGTCCTATGTAAAAACTACCCGACATCTAGCCCCTGTATGGCCGTGTAAACTCCTGGTGCAGCCTCACGGGGCTCCAGCGAGTTGCTTCTTCGAGATAGTGGAGGACGTGGGACATATGCCTGTTTACCTATGTTATACGCCAGGCGTCCCCGTTCTCCGTCACCTGTCACCTGTATTTAACTTATTTCTGCTAACTAATTTAGTGATATCATTCTTATCTGCTTTAAACATTTGAGTATGTACCAAGGAAACAAAGGTGTTCCATTCAAAAATCCTTTCTGAAATCGAGACCTCTTTCCCTTGCACAGGTAGTATTTCATAAGTTAAGTTTCACATTAAGTTAATTTGTGATTTTCCCCGTACTTTTATGTTCCAAAAAACATTTTACTTCCTGAAAATTAATTTCGGTAGTTTATGAGGTATTTTCTCCCCCCTTTCTGCATGCCTTCGTGGCGTAAATGTAACACAATCGGCGCGAACTCAAAAAGTTCGAGTCCTGGCGAGGACATTGCTCATTTTTAGTGTTTCATATAACACTGCTAATTCTTCAACATTCCTAATGACTCTACACTGGTGCCTGTTGATGATTCTTCACTACCCGGATTTGGCGATTGCGTGCCCTAATCCCCAGACCCCTTTAAGAGGGGTAAAGATAATGTTCATCTTTTTGCATATCTTCGTGATGTAACGGTAGCACATTGGGTGCATACTCGAGAGGTCCAGGTTCGAGTTCCGGCTAGAGCATTGCTCATTTTTCATATCTTCCTGCATCAGAATAACTTAGTGACTCAGCAAGTTTAATCAATGAACTATCTTTGCCTATAACACTCTAATCATGTCAAGCTCGTACATGCATACTCTATTCTGACTCTTATCAAAACCTTCTTAGAAAATATGGGAACATCTCTTATACGAAGCTATCATTCATTGGAGACGACATAGGAAGAAGGACGTTATAGGTTTAAAAACAAAAGCTTTATTATGTTTGTAAACAAAACTTCCCTGTTCTAATTCCTTAATTTCATTCTTTATATGTTTTTTTCTCATTTCAGTATTAAAAATGATTTTTGTGTACAGTTTGTCCCCCAACATTTATAAGACTCAAGTAATTCCATGTTAAATAAAAACAGAAATGTATAAAATTGCAGAATAAAATATGTTTATTTAAAGCATATGTGCATTGCATTCGAGTAACTATTTCAAATAAATATCAATTTGTCTTTTCAAGAACAATAAAAATACAAAACAAAATGTGTGTCCCAAAAGTTTATAGGCAAATATAATTTTATGCAAATTGCTAGCAACAATCATGATAAGGAACTTGAGCCTTTTATAGGATAATGCGCTCATTCAAACCTCGAATTAAAAATTAAAATAAAATATAAATAAAAATCTGAAAGTTTTCAGATTTTAAATTACGTCCAAACAGACGTTTTTCTAACATTTTATGTGTTACTTTTATTTATTAACTATCATGTACTTCGCACTTAAACCCTAAAAATCAGTTTAATAGCAATATCGCAAAATAATTTTGAAATGAGCATATCTTTAGAAATTTCCGATATACAGTTCTGTGCGCTGGAGATGAAAAAGGTCCCCCCCGTAGAGTGTTGCCATTACTCGCTTTTAAATCGTTGGGTTTGTTAATCAAAAATTCGTTAAAGGTTTATATAATGTGAAGTAGATAATAAAATAAATTCCAAATTTTGACTTCCAGATGCCCATATTCGCAGAAGGGTTACGTTATTCAAAACTGGATGACTCTAGGTACCGTTGTTTTATCACAATGCGAGAAACATACATACATTTATGCTGATTCTTCATTATTTTATTTCTTCAAATATAATACAGGGCGATCATATTTGGTTCCAGCAGTTTGAAAAGTGAAAACGGACATTCAGAGTGATTCGACGCAAAATCGCAAAACGAAAACAATAATCCCTCAGAGACAGAGCCCCTTTGGACTAAAAAAAAAAAGATCATTTGTATTCCCTTTACGTAATGCCTAAGGCTACGCAACTTTCTGCTTCTGAAGTTGTTACGATAATTTGATTCTGGAATTTAAATTGCGCAGTAGGTCTGTTAACGAAATTTCGAAATCGATTTGTTAGCATAATTTATCGTGTGTGTCTCGTAAGGCCCCATATCAGCCAAAACCACGTTCAGGACGACTGTGAGTGACAGACAACCGCAACCACATTACCGCTCTCAAAGGATCACAAACGAATGATATTGCCATGAGCCTGTAACCACACTGCATATGATAACAAATGGATCTCTTCAAATTTTAGCGATTAAAAATCCTCCCATTCATACCTCTGATGCTACAAAAACTTACTTAGGCATGTAAAATGTCACTGTGCTTGAGCAATAATCAATGAATTCCGATTTTAACTTCATAGAGAACGTAGGGGATATTACGTATCGGACAGTTTACGAAAATGAAAGGCAGTATTCTTCCGTGTATAATACAAAATGGGACCCTGAACAGGTCACAGAACCCTGAACTCCAAAGAACTCTCTATTACACTTCGCAGACAAGAGCCTCTTCAGATACACTGCTGGCCACCGTAAATGTAACGCCCTGAAAGAAGCATGCAAATAACATGAAATTTACAACATGCATTAGCGGAGGTGAGATATAAGTAATTAGAATTTCAGCGCAGACGCACATCACGCGCGTCTGTGGCGCCACATCAAAGCACTATTTAAGGCTTGGAATTTTCGACGATTTCAAGTTCGGCAATTGTGTTTTTCTTGTGGTTTTTTTCAAAAAAACGATCAATTATGCCTCGTAGTAAACAGCGATCATCGTTTGAACAAGTATCCGAGTTCGACAGAGGAAGGATAGTGGTCTACCGAAAGTGTAGATTATCTTTCAGGGAAATCAATAGTCGAAACCAAACAGCTGAAATGCGGATATGTGACCATTGGATGCAGGAGGGTACGACAGACCGACGTGTTTGATTGCATCCATTTCAGTGCACCACTTCACGTGACGACAGGAACATTGTGCGCATAGCAGTGATGGATCGCTCAGTTACATCACGAACCACAGTACAGCAAATTCAGTCTATAATGCATCATCCAGCGTCTTCATGTACCATTCGACGCCGTTTACAGAAGAGCGGTCTGTTCGCAAGACGTCTTCATCTACCTTTGACGCAGAACCAGCGTCAAGGGTGCGATGAAAGAAGATTGTGGACGGCAGAATGGAATGAAATTGTCTTTACAGACGAGACACGCTTCTGTTTGCAAAACCAAGATGGTCGAAT